ACTGAGCAACTGTTCCTAGTCAGAAGTTACAGGATTTAGTCCGGAGATTTTTTTCCTGTAAGTTCATGAAAAGTGTCAAACGATCAGCTGATTTACATGTGCAAACAAACACAGAAAGCGGTGAAAGCAAAGAACCTTATATTTGTTATAAAATGGAAGTAAACAACGAAATATTTAAATATGTATAGATTTTATTAATTATTTAGTGATATTTCAGCCAAATCAGTGTAGTGCCAATGACATGTAAACAAACCGTCTGACTTTTTACAGGAAATAGTGCTTTTTGCGTTCCTATGCACTTCTGCATCTGTTCTCCTTTTACGCTCATTTGAGAGCGTAAAATTGTAGTTTGACAGTTCCACAGGTTTTAGTCCGAAGTTCAAAGGAACAGACTAGATATTAATACAAAGAAACACATGAGAAACACACACAATACGCCTTAATTCTTTGAAAAATTACACGTACTTTGTTTTTGCTTTTGAGTGGTGAGAATGGCAGAAACTTATGTATATTGGCAAATTTAAAGCTTTTACTCGAATATCTCGAAAACTAACGCCATTTCTGAGATATCGTGCGATTTTTTATTAAAAATTTTCGCCTGCGGCGCTTTTCCCATAAAGGCCCGTTTACATAGAACTTTGGCGTTGCGTTGGCGTTGGCGTCGCTTCAACAGCTGACTATGAATACATGAATTCAAATGCAGCCGTCCACATAGCCAAAATTCGACAACGCTCACGCCAACACAAAGCAAAAAGATGGCCAACTCTCAACTTTTCGCGTGCGTCGCTCGTCAGCTGTTGCGAATAAATAAAATTATGTGAAATATTTTTCCTTTTTAATCAAGTGCGGGCAAGAAATATCGTTTTTAATGCAATTATTGATATGAAATATTAATTTATCTGTCGTTAATATGTTAATTTAGTGGCCCAAGGATTCGCCGCCAAGCGTTCATTGTAGCAAGCATACTTTTAACGTGCGTTCTGTCAAACCAACGCCAACGCCAACGCAACGCCAAAGTTGTATGTAAACGGGCCTTAAAAATCAATACTTCGATAAATATTGAAAATTTTTAATAAAAAATCGCACTTTTTGCACTCCGTGACGCTTACTTTTAATTACAGCTAAAATAACTGTAAACCATAAAAGTAGCGCTACCTTGGTATAGCGAAATTTGCTATTATATTTTGGTTAGAATATCTTATTTAGGTGAAAGTAAAAAAAGAAGAAGTGTGTAGTGTAAACTGAGTATAATAGCGCAAATGAAATGTGAAATAAAGTGGCAATACCAGCGATTTGAGGTTATAATAATTTTGGCAGGCGCAATGTTTGTTTACTCTGTTTTATTAACGAAATATATAAAATAAAAGTGAATAAATGATTTGGTTTGCATAAAATTATAACCGTAGACGTTTTAATAGTGTTTTAAAAGTGTAAACTGGTTATTTAGTGGATTTTTGACGTGGTAATTGCTCATAGAAAACAACGAAATTTAACAAAAGTTTTTTGTTTATAACTTTTAAATGGTTAATAATATTAACCCTCCCCCCCCAGGTTGTTAATAGGGGGCCGAAACGCGTCGTTTGGTACCCCTCCCGACTTTTCCGGACCTTTTTTAGGGGTTGTTACCCTACACTAGAGAATTATCTTAAAAAATATTTCCCAACGTTTCGATTTCGACAAAAATAACATCGATGCATCGGTAGTTATGCGTTAAAAACATCGATGTTTTTTGCCGGTACATCGATGTATCGTTAGCATTCCTAATCAGCCGGCATTCCAATTGTTTTATATTTTCAAGGATGGATATTCTTGTTTAATTTTACGTGTAGCGCATATGTTAAAAATCTCGTCGAGATGTTGCGAGGCTTCAGTATTATTTACCTTATCCCTCTACTTGCTTCGCCTATTGGAGCCGTGAAAGAGTCTAGTGAATTTCATGAGGAGCTCTATGTACGACCTATGGCAAATGGATATGTAAACACATTTTTTCAGTTCACCACTCGTTGGCATTATGGAGATAGGGAAAATTGTAGGTACATCTTACACCAATCTACAATTTGAAGCTAATTTTTTTCTTTTAGTACACAACACACAGCTTATACCTCGCCCGATTGCTGAAACATTGCTGCTTTACGATGTTAAGGAACTGCATATCGGTCTAACTCAGGGACTTTGGAGGTATGAAACTTTTGGTTTTCCTGTGGTGGACGCTGCACCAGGTGCAGAAATGTGGGCATGGTTTGCGGGAGAAAATCTGACAACAAGCGAAGTGGATGATCAGTGGACAAAGCTGGCCAGCACGTTTTCCGGTATTCTGTGCGCTTCTCTGAATTTCATTGACAAAACCAATAGTGTAGAGCCAAAGTTTAGTTTCCGCCCTCAATTCGTTATCGGCAGAAAGGTAAATATACCACAATATATACGATATGCAAGTTTGCCGCGAGAAATCGTTTGTACCGAGAATCTAACACCGTGGAAAAAATTATTACCTTGTAATAGTAAACAGGGTTTCGCCTCTTTACTCAATTCCGGTTCCGTGCACAATACAAATTATCACTCCTTGGGCATTAAAATGAGAACGATATGTGAATCGTATAATAAAAACTGTATTTTAGAATTCACAGAAACAGCCAATCTGGTATACGACCCGAAACTATTAGGCACGAATGGAGATTTTTCGCTACGACGTCTCTTTGGCCAGGGTTTGAATGGGTACTGTTCACTGTCTAAAAGTAGTAAAATTTATGTAAATCTGGATGATCAACCTTACGATTTAACACCAACCCCAATGCATAATTTGACATCGAAGCGTGGGGGTACCACTACTTCTTATGGAGTTTATGATATTCAACGTCTAGATGCAGATAAACTATTTAATATCGCCTGGATAAGTCGCAAAAGCAATCCAGCTATTCTCATAACTCCTTCACCTCCGATATACGCACATCGCTACATACTTGGACATGGTCAGGAGAGAGGCCAAATAGTGACGCAAGTAACAAATAAGCACTATTCTAAGCTGCCTATCGTGCTGCAAGAAAACATACCATGGTTTGTACCATCCTATATGCACACGCTTAATCTAGTTGTTCAAAAGGAAAACGGTGCGGACTACAGAATACGACCACTTGTAATGCACTACATACCTGGTGTACAGCGAGTGCGTCCCTATCACTTGGAATTGGTTTTTGAAATACCGCCAAGGAGTACAGTGCAAGTTTCTTTTGATTTTGATTATATTTTCCTAAAATGGCTTGAATATCCACCCGATGCGAATCATGGACACTACCTAGGATCGGCAATAATCACTACTCAGCTACCGATTGGTCGCAACTACTCTACCATTCCTGTGGATAAATACCTTTTTGCTGACTCATTCAATGCATCGCGACCGTCATATTTTCTGGAAATTCGCACAGAATCGCTTATATTATCATTACCGACACCCGATTTTAGTATGCCATACAACGTCATTTGTCTAGCTTGTACAGTTGTTGCTTTGGCTTTTGGGCCAATCCATAGCGTTGCTACAAAGCGTATAGTTGTGGAGCATAAAGATGCGCCACCACAGTCACTGATAGGCAAAGTATGGCAGAAGTTATTCAAACGGAAGCAAAAGGAAACGGACAACGGCACTTCACAAATAGAAGAACAAGATGAGATGCTATTTGGACACTCGAATGCTCAAATATTGCATCAAAAATTTGAATGAATGGCGATATACCAGCAAAAAATGCTTACAATAGCCTATGAGGATATAAAACTATTTAGTATCTATGTAAACATCCAAACACCATAATTTAGTTAATCAATCATTTAGTAATAAAGGGGTGTGTATTTATTTGTATTAACTAATAAGTAGTTTTACTTGCTTTGTATGTATGTATGTAAGTATTTTTTAGGGCCAAATCTTGCATCCAATTTCCAACCAACTTCCCCATAAGATTTGCAATTTCAAACGTAGCTCAGAACCCGAACACAATGCAACATGAAATACGAGTTAATCCGCTAGGTGGCCCACGCCATGACGTTGGTGATCTCGTCTGGGTTTTGGCTTATTTTTCAAAACTAAGGTGAAATAATGATGGTTCTTATAAAGAGCCTTTTAACAAAATAATAAATATCTCATTTTAAATGGGTAATGTTACCCAATATTTTAAGTTGGTTTATTAAAACCGGGCGGCCGCTGTGGTGTAGTGGTTAGAAGTGGGCGCTACCATCCATCGGTGCCTGGCTTAGAGTCCAGTTTCCGACCACCACAAAAAAAAATAAAAAAAAGTTCTAATGCGGTCGCCCCTCGGCAAACAATGACAAACCTCCGAGTGTATTCTGCCATAAAACATGAGAAGTATTGTTCGAGTTGCAATCACAACCGCATTGTTGCGCGAATTATTAAAGTATCACCTTCGGTGTGACTTTCTGGCATCGTATTGTAAGTTGGGCAGTTACAACAGTGCAGCAGTAATGCCCCTTTTATTACGTGTTTCCAACAGGCCCACAATCTCCTCTCGGAGTCAGCGTAAGCAGGGATCACACGATGTGTACAGATTTGTCCATTTTAACTGTTACAAAGTGGTGTTGTTTGGAAAGATGTTATTGCCCTGAACGCATTATCGTTAACAATTCCTAGACAATACCACTCTGTGACTGCCAAATGTACCAATCGTGTTATCCCTGCTTAAGACCTATAAAATACTTAAATAATGTAAGCAAGAAAAACTCTTTTTGATTTTGTATAAATGTGACGAATACACATAAACGGTTTTATTAAGATAGTGGTGATATTAAATGTTATAAAAAAAAAAAAAAATTGTTTGCCCGGCGGCTTGTCAACCAAATGTAAACTACAATATCTGATATCTATCAAGACAGGTTCATATTTAACTGTTTTAATAAATGGATACAATTTTCCGTAGTCAATATTAGATGAGGATGCATAATTTTATTTCTTTAGATTAAGATACGTTTGATTAAAACATTATTACATGCTTTTCATTGTATTTCGACTTACGTTTGTTGTAAAATCTTTACACTTAATTTTAATAAAGATATTATAGTATTAGGAATTTCTTTTTTTTTATGTTTGACGCGCGAAACAATAAACATTAGTTTTCGTTTTAACATTTCATAATTTAGCAGATATAAAGTCCTTACCACAATTTTGATGTAACTAACAAAATAAAAAAATTACAGTTAGACAAAAATTTCGCCAAGTCCTCCCTTAAAATGAAAACATTATTTATATTTCGTTACCATAATTCACAAAAGCCCTAACCAACATTTTTTTTTTTATTTTACAGGAGAAGCAAAAACATAAAAAGAGCATCATAAACAGCAAAATTTTTATTGAAGGTGTATTTCAACACATCATAACAAATTCCTTGAAAAAATCATTTTCGAAAAAAGTGTTGGTTAGGAGGGCCTTTATGAATTAGGGTAACGATATGTACATATATATATATTTATAAATAAATAGATATTATTTTCATTAGCATTTTTAGCGGGTTCTAAATCCAGTTGGTTTAACTCCTTTAGGCCTTATCGAAATCTTTTTTTCAAAACACTGATCAACATCAAAATCGCGGTAAGAGCTCGATATACAGGCATAAAATAGTCAATGAGCCTCGACACACTAATCTTTTCACACCGTCTGAAACCGACTTTCCATGTGTGTAAAATGGAAGGGAGCAGTATTTTACCTCAGAAATTTCAGCCGCCGATATATGCGGTATGAACACAGATAGAAAAATCGTACACAACTACATATATACCATATATGTACACAAGTACATAACCGGTTTCATAAATTTTTTGTCATTTCAATGCCCAGCGGAAATTCGGCATTAGTCTGCTTAGACCGTGTGAAAAGACGACTAGTGTGCCGAAACTTAATAAAAGGGTATATTCAAAAAGTTGTCCTACTAATAAAATTAAAATTAATTCGCTGCCAAGGGTGCGATCTTTTAAGTTCGGGAAATGAGCATTTTTCAATTTCGTAGCTTAGTCATTTGCCACAAGTTTAAAAATTGTTTTGGAACCTTTATATCCACATGGACAAATTGAACTTGAATTTCTCCCGATTTACCAAATATTCTAATCATTTCACCATAGCCGTTCTTTTATATTCGAACCATTTTTAACTTGCACCAATTATGTATATTCCTTCTCTCTGCGCTAATGGCTTTTGGCATTGAGTATAAAGTCAATGTGTTTGATCCCAATTGAGCTTACCAACTCATTGCGCTGTAATATTAGCATGGTTATTTATTTATGTAGTCATTGAATGAATTCTGTAGTTAGTCGTAGTTCTGTAGTCGTACATTTCTTTTACTTTATGTATGTACATATATTACTGTGGTGGCTGATTGCCGTAGTATGAATATGCGTTAGTTGGCGGGCCTTGTGGTGCACCTGGCGGCGGCATTTGTCCACCGGTGGGTCGATATCCTTGATAACTCTGCGAGGGTGGATATTGTCCCTGAGGTATAGCACCGTATCCGCCTTGCGGCTGATGATAGCCGTGACCAGGGTATCCTCCGCCAGGTGGTGGTGGCCCGTATGCTTGTGGTGGCGGCGCACCATAAGGTTGTGCAGTTGGTGGCGGTTGATATTGTTGATTGGGCATTGGTGGCGTACCATTTGGCGGTGCTGTGGTATTTGGTGGTCCCGTAGGGGGTCCACTTGGCCCAGGCGGCTGTTGTTGTGTTGGTGCTCCGTATGGCGATGGACCTGCGGAAGGCGTTCCTGCAGAGTAAACAGGTTGTTGTTGTTGTTGGGCTGTAGAGCCATGTGGCTGTGGCGGACCGCCTGAAACTGATGGTTGTTGCGTAGCGTATTGCTGCTGTTGTTGTTGCTGCTGTTGCTGTTGAGTAGGTGGTGCTTGTTGATTGGGCGGACCACTATTGACACCAATATTCCCAGACGATGTCGAAGGAGACGTGGATTGCACACTTACAGGGGGTGCATTTGGTCCATTCGGATTGCCCGCGTTTTGTGCTTGTTGATTTGATGGTGATGGAGGTGTTTGGCCGGGACTTGGTGAAGTACTGTAGCCGCCGCTCGTTCCCTGTGGTGTCTGAGGCTGTTGTGACGTCTGACCTGGATATCCACCTGGTGCACCACTCTGCTGATATGGAGACTGTGGTGGATATGGAGATTGAGCAGGGCTTTGTGGAGGCGGTCCATAACCACCAGGCAAAGCGTTTGACGTTTGGCCATAACTACTAGGCGGAGGAGCACCATAACCACTATAGGCCATTGGTGGAGGGGCGTTACCTCCTCCTTGAGGTGGACCATATTGGTTCGGCGGTGGTGGTGGCCCTTGTCCACCAGTTGGTGGGCCATACATTTGCGAAGGCGGTGGTTGCTGGCCTGGTGGAACTTGTTGATTGGGCGGAGGCGGAGGATAGGCACCTGGTGGACCTTGCTGACCGCCAGCATTGGCATAACCGTGTTGACCGGGGGGACCGGCAACTGTTGAAGATGTCGGAGGCATACCTGCATGATGATAGCCGCCCTGTGCATTTGGCGGTGGCGGTCCATAACCTTGAGTGGGTGGTCCGTAGGCATAGCCACTTTGTGGTTGGTACGATGGTTGGCTTTGTGGAGGATATCCAGGGTAATGACCGTGTTGTTGTTGTTGATAACCGCCACGATATTGTGACTGTGGTGGTGGACCTTGTTGTTGCTGCTGGGGTGTTGGAGGTTGTTGCTGTTGTTGTGGTCCTTGGCCAGGCTGCTGCCCAGGTTGAATATTTGAACGTTGTTGATCTAAAAATATTATTCAAGTTAAGAAACTTATTGGTTTTGTTGTTACAGACTTTACGCTTACTTGATCCTACACCTGAGACAGGTGGGGGTTGCTGATTGGTAGATTGAGGTGTCGAAGTGCCACGGTATGCCCCGGCTTGTTGTTGAGATTGCTGCTGTCCAGTTTGTGGAGAATTAATACCTTGTTGAGGTGGACCTTGCTGGGGTTGTTGCGAATTAGGTGGCATACCAGGATGCGATTGCGGAGGTTGATTGCCGTAGGGCATTTGTGCTCCAGATGGAGACTGCACGTTTCCATCGCCATGTGTCATTGGTGGCATACCTCCTATTTGTGGTTGATTTCCCCCAGTTGGAGGTCCACCCTGTTGTGGGGGCTGAGGCCCACCCATCATGCTATGTGGGCCTTGGTGTTGAGCGGCCTGTTGTTGAAGTACGTGTGGATGCTACAGAAGTTCCAACGATTCACATATAGAAAAGTTGGAACAATATAAATATGCATATGTATTTGGAAGTAAAACTTACCGGCAATATTTGGGCAATGTTCATTGTCGGATCAGCAAGTTGCGCCAAATAAACGAGATTTCTATGTAATGCCATGTGATATGTCATGCACTCCTGCGCCTTGCCCATAGTTTGGAAATCTTGAATTGTCTGAATAAGACCACAATTGTCATCAAGTATTTTTTGAATTTGTGCTGGACTAGGCGATGGTGGCATTCCACCTCGTTGTGACGATGGCGGAGGGGCAACACCGCCCATCATGCCTCCACTTGTCACAGAGGAGGGTGGTCCAACTGGTCCACCGCCACCTCCAACCATGGAAGGTCCTCGCTGCATTGGGCCCCCTGATCCCATTGGTACCCCGGATGGCCCGCCCATGCCAACGCCACCGACTCCCCCTACACCGGGACCTACACCTGGTTGTTGTTGCTGCTGCATCGACGTTGGCGTTTGCGGCTGCGGCGGTTGCAGCACGCCGCCCGGGGGCGCCGTCTGCTGCGGTGGTTGCGGCGAATAAACTGCAGACATTTTACTGGCTGCAGCCTTCTTCTTCCGCTTGGGAGTTTTCTCCTGTTTTTCCACAATTTTAGCGGTTTTTAATTAACGGGGAGGAAAAAAATGAAGGTTTCGGCTTTTATAGCCGAAGGTAAATTGCGTTTCTTGCAGACAATTTTTTCAGTCAGAACTTTATCGGCCTTGTGTGTTTTAAGTAATTATTTTGCTCTACATATACTTGGTTCGATACTCCGACTTTTCCAATACCAGCCGATATCGGTTAAGTTTTAGTCACTTGGTATGACTCAGTTTAAGAAACTACTTTCACAAATTTAACACTTGTATACATTTATATAATTATTTGAAACGGCTCTAAAATGAAACATCGTGTAAAAAAATTAAATCCACATTTTTCGCAACCAAAATGACGCTTGAGAAAACTAAAATCTCAGTTGACGTTGCCTGCTAGCTGAATTCGCCGGGCGTTACAGAGGTGCATTCAAGGCGTATTTAATAACGCTGTGTTTACATAAGACAATAGTTGTGTTTTCGTATTTTCCAGCAAAAAAACATCCAGTAACTTGCCAGTAACCAAAGAACCATCACGGTACCGCTATTCCTCTCTCAGTGAATTTGACAGAATCGTTGTTTGTATTACGTCACACTTGTGCAACTTATTTACGTTTTTCTTGCAACATTTTTTCTTCTCCCATTCTTGCTCACGTTTTGGCATTTCTCTCTCGCAATTGCACCAGTGTGACGTCACTCAAAAGTATTCTCAAAAATCCTCTCTGATGGGCGCAATCTTGTATTCTATCATTCTTGGTTATCTACGTTCTTTGCCAGTAACCAAATTTCGGAGAGTAAGCCAATATTTACTCTCAATGAGAGAAACCAGCAAGAAGGTGCAAGTTTTATGAACAGCTGATTAATTTATTTTCCGACGCAGTTTTCTAAGAAATATAGTATTTCCCATCTTACTATACATGTAAATACTTTTATTTTGTCAATTGCAACTTTAAAAGAACCACAAACAATTCTTTAGGCAATGTGAATTGCATTAAGCATCTGCCACCAGCTGTTTTTCTCAATAGCGAATAGTTCCTAGTAAAAATTTATCCCGTAAAAATCAAGAGAAACTTACAAGTTCAGCTATCATTTCTGCTCTCTCAATTTCCTCTCTTTTGCTAGTTTCTTGCAAGTTTTTGCGTACGAAAACGCCATCCAATGAAAACCAGTAAAATTAGCACCGGATTTTACTGGATAGTGCGTACGCGAACAGGGCTAATTTGAGACAAGACAACAATAACCAAAGCAAATTTATACAATGTGGTGTTGAAGGCGAATTTAATTGTAAAATCAGCTGATTTCTTCGCTTTACATGTTTTTTGCTTTTACTGATTTGACCGCCCCCCCCCCCCCTCAAAAGCAAAAACAAAATACATGTAAAGCGAAGAAATCAGCTGATTTTTCAACACCAACTTGTATAAATTCGCTTTGTTGTATAGTTTCGCTTTGCTCAAAATGATGTTTGTTGTAATATGAATTCGCCTTGTGATACACCTTGTGGGAAGTTTCCGATGCATCGAAGCAAAACATCGATATTTTCGATGCATCGATGTTTTTTCGACATCTCTAGAGCGTAAAGGTAGTCGAGGCTGAAGCGGTTGATGGAAAATCGAGTTGGGTTTTTTTCTGAAATTAACGTGCAACAGACAATTTATTCTAAATGTTAACAAAAGCTTGTCTAAATCTAACTAAATAAGTGGAAAGCTGGTGGTGTAACTGGATGTAAAATAGGTAAATCGCGGTGATAAAATCGGAAAATCGAAGAAGGCAACAAAGAAATAGGAAAATAGAAACGAGCAAAAAAAAACAACGGCAGATAGATAAAGCGAAAGAAAGAGTTGAAACGAGCGGATTGTTGTAAAGCGAGTGGCGTACCGCAAATTGGGAATGTGCAAATATTTAGGGTTGCCAATGTTTTGATGGTTGTATTTGTTTGCTCAAAACTTTTATTAACTACAGGCCCGAGAATATTCAGAATTAAAAAGTGTTTTGAAGTTTGAATTTTATGCTTGGTGCAGTTTTTTCAACATACATACAAGTTGAGCTGTTCACATGATCAAATTTGCGCTGATCGTTACTATTTTGGCCAAAAGCCAAGAGCGCATTTTCTTTCCATTGCTTTTTACTTTTATTTACATAATTATGACGTTCGCGAAAAACTTTGTCAGTAAGTAAAGGTTTATTAGTATTTATAATTAATTTAACAAAATTTTTTACTTAAAAAATGTAGGATTGTGAAATATACATATTTGTTTAAATTCTGTTCACGTTGGTCGACCATAGTTCGGGCTTGCGCGTCTACTTACATACATATAAAATTCGGAAATTGGGAAGTATCTGAAAGAGATTGGGAAAAAACAAAGCGGAAAAATATAAAAATTATACAAACACTGGTGAAAAGCAAATTTAAATCCGTTTTGTTATTTAATTTTAAGGAAACATCAATTGCATTATTGAGGTAAAAATCACCGTCTTATTTAATACTTCACTCAGAATTCGTCGCAAGAAAAATTGGTGCAGTCGTTTATTGATTTTGTTGTTGCTCGTCTGGAGGCATCATTGCCGCGCTTTTCCGAATAAGTTTTTATAATGGACTCCTATACGAAATATTCCTTCTTACTATATAAGCGAAAAATAAAATGAATGAATTACAATCAATTGAGAAAAATCGCACTACGTTCTTCATTGCAGCTACTATTAACTTTTTGTAAGCGTATGTTATTAATTGGTAAGACGCCCTCGACGTCGTGTGCCAATGTTTTCTTTCGTACAAATGAACTTCAGCGCTCTATCGGTACTTCTGTCAAGAGTGTGGACATGCATCTGTTTTATGTTCAACAGACAAGTTCGCTCGGTAAGTTATTTTTTTAAGGATTTTAAATTAACTTGAATAAATATTAATTTAAGTAGTTACTAAGTCTTTAGCAATACATCAATACATATTGTTACAGGCTATTAGTTTTACACAAAGTTCCTAATTAGGTATATGTATAATTATTTTTAAATTTAATTCATTATAACTACATATATAGATACATGGGAGGTTCATAAAATTAATAAACAGGTATTGTAAAGCCGGCTCATTCACTTGTCTCAGACAGAACATGTAATCGCAACGATTCCTTTTAGGGGTGTTGAGAAGCGCATCATTAGGCCAGTGCATTTTAATAGGTGTTCATTTTTGTATATTTGTAAGGGATTTTATATGACCTACTATTTTAAATAAAGAGATTTTAACAATCAATTTTTTTCCAAAAAATAACCAACTCGCAATGAGATGATAAATTAGTTCCGCCCGGGGATTAGTCAACAATTTTGTCGAATGAGCGCCAGGTGTAACTTTCCACGTACATAAGTATGGGTTTGGTCTAAAATTGGCTTTCCATGTCAATCTCTGTTATGGATAATGAACTATCGAAGTGCTGCATAGTATTTTCCAAACATTTGATTCTATAAGATTCAAAGGGGTTTCATATTAATTTCATTTGTAGTTTTCACATTCCCCATGTCGGAAGCCAACTTTACTGTTATATGTGTTCATCAACTAAAATGTAATACGTTTAAATGCATTTTCCTTAGATTGTACAATATCAGCCAGTCAAATATGAACTATTTCCACTGTCGCCGGTGTCAAGGCATCGGCTTGGAATTGTACAACGGAAAACACTTGTACTGGATTTAGATGAAACACTTATTCACTCACATCATAGCGCTATGTCGCGAAATACCGTCAAGCCGGGCACACCACATGACTTCACGGTCAAAGTAATAATTGATCACCATCCGGTACGTTTCTTCGTTCATAAACGCCCGCATGTGGATTATTTTTTGGATGTGGTAAATACTATTTTAAATAATATGAATTATATTTGAATATTTTCATTTCATCTTTATATTGTTCTCTCTAGGTTTCACAATGGTATGACTTAGTTATATTTACAGCCAGTATGGAAATATATGGAGCAGCGGTTGCTGATAAACTGGACAACGGACGCAACATTTTGCGTCGCCGCTATTACCGTCAGCATTGTACGCCTGATTTTAGCTCTTACACCAAAGATTTATCTGCTATCTGCAGTGATTTGAATAGAGTAAATACATACATGTGTACATATATGTATGTATATGTATTTACTTATCAGTTATTTTTGTTTTCTTAGATTTTCATAATTGACAACTCCCCTGGTGCATACCGTTGTTTTCCCAACAACGCGATACCAATCAAGAGTTGGTTCTCTGACCCAATGGATGTTGCGTTGCTATCACTACTTCCAATGTTGGATGCGTTGAGGTTTACAAAGGACGTGCGTTCGGTTTTGTCAAGAAATTTACATTTGCATCGTTTATGGTAGCAGGTGGGTACAAAAATAAATAAAATTAGATAAGTAAGTACATATCGCTCATTTAGATACTACAAGACTGTCATAACTCAAAAAAATACCAGTAGTTTTAAGGAGACGCGCTTAAAGCTTTCAAATTGCTCACAATGTACAGAAAAAAGAAATGATTATTTTGTTCTTACTACAAAAGATCTTAACACAATACTTCTACACAATATAAAACAAAAAATAAAAAAGGTTTTTTGAGTTAATGACAGCATTTTAGTTAGTGAGCAATATGTATGTACATTAGGGCGGTCCCATGTGGAAAAGTAAGGTCGTAATTTTAAAGCTCTCAGCCACTAGGATTGTACTATACCGAAAAAATATACCACAATTTTGTTATTTTGAAATCAAAAAATATTTGAGAGGTCGACCAAAGCGCTCAAAGTTGTCTTCGTAGAAATGCTATATAATTCTTGGAAATCAATATTTTTCAATCGAAAAGCTCTGTTTCTCTTCAGAAGACTCCCAATAGATAATTATTATTATAATAATACCTAATTGTTTTGTTAACCATTTTTTTCATAGCAATGGCGGGAAAAAATTCCTGAAAATGCAACGGGTGCAAATCGTCGACTGGGTAAAAGATTGTCGTAAGTTAATTTCGGCAGGTTGTGGGAAATCGCGACTGAAGTTTGGAAAGCAATTTCTCAAAAACGCGAAGATAGATTTTCTCCAAAGTCTCTAAAAATGTTACTAGTTCACAAAATTCTTAAATTATTTAATTTTTAACGTTTATTTTTTATTAATTTTGAGTTTATGAAGAATCTTCTCTAGTAAAATTTTGTAGTAAGCGTCATTTGTCCACACATTGTCCACTAAATTAACGACACTTTTTACTCAATATCTCGGAAATTAAACGAGATATCCAAAAATGGAGAACGCCATTTTTAAGATATTGATTAGTTTAATACGACTGTTCCACTAACTAAATTTTTACTAAATTATTCAAAAAATTGTAGTCAATATCTCGGAAACTAAAGGAGATATCTAAAAGCTGATAACACCAATCGAAAGACCTTATTTCAAAACATATAACTGCATCTAGAACTAAAAATAGTCAAAATTGCGCCTACGACAATCTTTTGTTTTTAAAATAAAAAATAGGGGTATATTTTTTCGGCATAGAACAATCCCAGAGGGAGAGACCAATAAATTTCCGACTTTACTTTTTGGGCCACCCTAATCTTAATACATATGATATATGTATGTCTGAATGCGCCATCCTTGACTTTTCAGACGCTCTAAGCAGACTAACACGCAAAAATACCCTAGTCCTTTCAGACCGGTTATTTATTTACGTAAATATACGATATAGAGTTGCGTTAGAAAGATATTTTTCTATGTGTGTGTTTCAGAGCGAACCCAGTAGGCCGTGCAAGTTTTTAATACTTTCCACCATGATAAAAACATATATATGTATATATATTTTTATCATGCTTTCCACCTCACTTTTCATCTGTGAAGCATAAAAACTTCCATGTCTATTCAAACTAACAAAAGCATATATGCTGGCATGAATAACATTAGGAGCACCTAACAAAATGGTCTGGTGGGAAGTCAATACTGCATTTTTCGGTGTCTGAAATTTCTGAGGTAAACTACTGCTCTAGACTAGTATCGAGGCTCAATAGTCAGTAGATAATAGAAATCAAAGTTGCTTTTGAATGAGGTGAAATAGGGCTCTATGTTTGTATCAAGGTACATTGAACAGGTAGTATCAGTAGAGCAGCTGATTTGATTTATTTTCAAATTATTTGGTCTCGAAAATGTCAAATATTTTTAATTTTTTCTAACAAAAATTCTGAATTGTTAAAATCCATTTGCATGTGAAACCTTTTTCCATACAAAAAAAGCGATTGAATAGCAGCTTTTGGAACGTTCGCCCAACTCAGCAGCACAACCGCTGATTACTGGCCCTTGTAAAGGATGGATCAATGCTTCGAGAAGCAAACAAATTTACTAGGAAAGAAAGTTGCAACAATTTTTATTTTTTCCAATTTCAATTTTTTATTTTTTTTATTTTTTATAATTTTTTGTATTTCAGATGGCACTCTTTGATTTAGAAGAAAAAATTCAGAACAGTTTTTGACACTTTCGATACCAGAAGCAACAACAAAATACACGCAAATGTTGTTTTTGCTCTACTGATACTACCTGTTTAATGTGCCTTGGTTTGTATAGAGGGAGCATTTGACAACACGTGCTTTATTAACGCTCGTAGGCCACTAGAGATGAGAAATGTGTGTTACAGTAGCTACACACGACGAGCATATCCGCGCACATGCGCGGCTTGCGGGTCATGCTCGTCGTTTGTAGGGCGGTTTGCGCGCATGCTCGCCAAAAATCAAAAAATTTTGATTTTCAGCGAGCATGCTCGTCGTTTGTAGCGTGGTTTGCGAGCATCGCATTGGAAACAAAAACAACAACCTCATTTTGTGTTGATGCTTGCAGTGTGCACATCGCGGATAAATGCATCCAAGCCATGTGCGTTAATTGAATTTTTGATAAATGAGGCTAAATTACTATATGTATATGTATGTACATACATATAAGTAAAATATAAATAAATTTAAGTAACACATACATAAAAAACCCTAAGTCATAAGTATTTCAATTGCATCATCCGCGTCTTTCCTTTCCATGTTTACGCTTTGAGTACAAAATCACTTATGAGCCGCTCGCCGTTTGTAGCAAACGACAGCCAGCATGTTGGCGCACATGTGCGCGGATATGCTCGTCGTGTGTAGCTACTGTAAATGGGCAGCAATCGAACTCAAAACTAACATTGTTACAACCTAACAACGCGTTGGCTTTCCTCTGCGTTTGATATTAAATGAAAAGCACTCGCGTTTTGATAATTTGATAAATGCAATATACAGGTTTTTATTTAAAGTTGCTTGGGGTGTAGCATACCAGGCCCCTCTACTCTACCTCTAAATTAGTTGAGTTGTATCTGAGACCTCTCAACTATTTATTGCTATTGCCGTTCACAACTGTTTTCAGTTGACTGTAGCCATTGAAAAAGTCGGAAATTCGCTAGAAATTTTATTATTTTCATAATATCATGCTATTTTAATGATATTAAAATAATTAAAAGCAAAAAAAGGAACTCAGACGAATTAAGTTACGTTAAAAAAAAGTCATGAAAATCGGCAAACTTTTCGAGGAGTTTTTAGATTTCGAAAATTGGTATTTCAATTTGATATAATGGTATAGAAGACGGCAGCTGAGGCTGAGTGGTTAGCGCTGCGTACTACCACTCCTTTAGGACCTGGGTTCGATCTCTGATCCGAGCTACATCTAGAATAGAAAAAGTGTATTTCTAACAGCGGTCGCTACTCGGCAGGCAATGGCAAACCTCTTAGTGTATTTCTGCTTTGAGTCTGCAGATCCTTCTCTGTTAACGTCAAACTATTATTATTATTATGGACTTACATATTGAGTCTTATGAATAAAAACTAAGCAATTGCTTTTTCTTAAAACTTCCACTCTATTTATTCAAAAAAAATTAAAGTAAAAGGTCTAAAATTTTTAGAAAAAGCAATTGCTTAGATTTTATTCATAAGGTCCAAAATTTCACAACTTCATAAGGTAATTAAATTTCCTTACGATATATGGCATTCATACATACATTTTCATATGAAAACAGAGTACATATTTTGCTAAAAAAATCCCGTTTATTTACAGTTTTACAGATTAAAAATTTGGTGCTGTGACGCTTAAACGATTTTTTAGTTTGTTTTATATGATAAGCACTATAAATAAATCAAAAGGAAGGCAAATACAAAAAACATATTTTTTGACATACAAAAATATTTTTGACATCTTTTTAATCCTATCAAGGAGAGATAGCTTCCACCCCACGCCGGTTTTCCATATACGCATTTTAAGCGTAATTTAAATGAAATTGCTAATTCAATAAATCCGTGGAGAACTTATTTAATATAATTTGTACATTATATATATACTTAATTTTCTAAAGGATTTTCCAATCTGATGTATGTAAATTATGATAAATATGTGTATGTGTTTTTGATTTAAATATTATTTATTAGTAGAAATAATAAAATATTCAATTAGTTTAAGTATACATATACATACAGTGTTTTTTCATAAGAAGAAAAAAAATTAATGAACGTATTAATATGAACTTTTTGCTTTTGTTGAACGTTATTTGATGATCAAAATGAAAAACTTATGTATGTTATAATTTAGCATTTAACGGCAGCGCAACAGAATCTATTTTAAATGATCAACACAATCTAAAACTAAGCAAATTGAAATATCATAAGGAAAACGAACTAAATCAAAGTCGTGTATGTGTGTGTATTTAGATTCTAAACGTACACAGATGCACAGCAGAAGGTAATAAAAGTATAAATAAGAGCTAATAAGCTGTAAAGAATGAAAAATAAAGAAACCAGCAAAGTATCCTTTTGATAATAGCAGTATTATCGGAGTCTTGCACGGATTGCGCGGTAAAAACCGGTTTTCCTATGGGACAGCCTGGCAGTCTTGTAGGTTTATCCGTGCACCGTGCAAGGGCTTTGCAAGACTGCGAGAATTCCGTTATTATGTTTTCACGGTAAAAAAAGAAACTAAAATAATACCGGCTTTGTCTGGAAAATGGAGCAAATTAAAATAAGAACAAAGTGACTCAGTTATAATTTAGAGTAAACTCTACATATTGCTCATTTACTACAATAGTGTCATAATTCCAGAAAATATAAATTTTGAGTTGAGTATGCAGAAATTACCGCTTCGTCTACTTCGAAGCTGTATAAAAATTTCACAGCTGTTACCAGTATCTCACTTGAACAAAATATGGGTTCATTTTTACTATGGGAGTATACATATCGCTAGCCTCTTGTATTAAAATATGAGTCTTCATAAAGAGTGGACTTAGCAACTTTTCACTCTAAGCTAGCGATATGTAAATTTCGCTTTTGTTGAGTTTGGACATTTTTGAAGTAAATGAGCGATATGTACATACATACATACATACATATGTATGTCGAAAAATTAGAATGACAAAAAAATTAGCTTTTAAGTTTGTAGTAAGTGGAGTAGTGTATAAAACGGAATAGTTGATTAAGACGGCCCTTATATCAAAGACAGTCTGTCGCATAAATGTCTTATAAACATCTAACACAAGTTATGTAGTTTAAAGCATTTTTGTTTGTACATTTTTCCTTGAAATTTATTGCGAAATATGAGTTATGTGGTTTATACTTATCATTTGCCTATACATAATTGTCATTAAGCAACAGATTGTAGAACACTTGCCACCCTAGTAACAAAAAAAAAA